TCTGCTTGTGGAATTAAAAGAAAAAAATTCCAATGCGTAGAACTGACAATTCACGAAAACAAAAGTTGTAGAAATACGGAAAATTTTCTCTCTGGCACTTAGTCATAAGATCTTTGTACAAAACCCTGTTTTTTCGCAGATGAGGTATAAGAAGTAAAAAAAAGTAAACAATAATAAAATTTAAAAGGGAAATTCCCAGTAGTTGGCTATATACCATAGTTAAAAAAAAACTTTTGAGTAAAATGGAATAAAATTTATTAAAATTTACGTCCAAATAAACGTGAAATTAATGTAAATGTCAATATGAAATAAATACATAATAAAATTGCACTTTTACCGCACCCTGTATATCCCTATTTTTGGTATTAAGCCAGTATTATATGAACACTAAATTTTGTGCAGGTTAAAGGTATGAACCTTGTTGCTCAATCATATATTTATAACGTTGGTTCGAAGTCGATGTGATATGCTTTGCAAGCTGATTTGTGTTTGTGTGTGATTGTGCGATAATATACAATTGAATAAGGCGTGAATTATGGTTAAAAGTTATGTGTAAGAAAAAACTATATGTACATTGAGAACCAAAACAATGTGTAAGATTTTTTATAAAAATAGTTGTCGAATAAGGTTTGAGGAAAATCATAGAGAATTGTCCAACAATATTTATATAGATATATTTACATGAACATATCTAATAACTAGACTGAGGCAAATATGCAGGCTTAGCACAAAAGTCCTAACCAAAAAAATCAATAAATTAACAACTTTATCAGATGAACAACAAGGATTCAGATCGGTCCCCAGGTGTGTATACCATACAGTAATGGCAAATGCCACTCCTTTGGAAAAAAGGACAGCTTCATGGAATCTGGGGAAGCAAGAAATCGCTAAAAACCACACGCTTGAACATCGCAACTCTTAAGGTCCTTAAGCAAAGATGAAAAAGTCTACTTAAAATGGGACATAATTGGTCTAGCAGAGGTAAAAAGAGAAGGGGTATAGTGCATAACACTAGAGTCCGGTAAAGTCCTGTATTACAAAGTGTGAGAAGAACAACGCCTAGATGGCGTAGGATTTCTAATTTCCAAGAAATATGCACATAAAGTAAAGCAATTCGTAGGAATATCTGAAAGAATTGCAATGATTAGGTTAAATGTAAACGAGAACAACTCACTGAAAATCATTAAAGTATACGCTCCAACCGCAGTACATTCCGATGAAGAGATAGATGAATTTTATGAGCAAATTGCAGAAAGTAGCACGAATTATCACAGCAAGTATACGATGATAATAGGAGACTTCAACGCTAAGATCGGACAACGACTTGAAAAAAACGAAAACTATAGAGGACAATTCGACTCTGAGGTTAGAAACGAGAGAGAAGAAACCTTGGTTAACTTCCTACAAGCCCACAAATACTATGCAATGAACACATTCTATAAGAAAAAAACCTCAAATAGGTACGTGGCTATCCCCAGACGGAAAAACTCGGAACGAAATAGATTACATACTCTGTAAGAAAACAGATATCATACAGGACGTAACAGTAATAAATACGGCGTCACTAAGTAGCCAAATTAGAGATAAAACATAATAAAAATAGAAATAAATTTAGAAAAACTTGGAATATGACACAGATAAACTAAAATCTAATACAGAACAATATAAAAGCAAGTTAAAACCCGCGAAATTATTAAATCTAGATAAGCTTAGTTTAAATGAAATCGATGAAGTCGTAACAAAAGAACTATTAAATGTATGAACTAACAATAATTAATATACAATTATTAAATATATGGCGGGTGTTGGGGAAAAGTGATATAAGTCGAAAAATGTAAAAAATGAGTTAAACATAGATACCACTTTCAAGTGCATGTATCTTTGATAGGGTGAAGTGATATAAGTCAATTTAATGCGGCAAGCAGGTGTTATTTGTTTGCGTTACATGATATAAGTATTTTTAATATCATTTAATATAGTGAAAAATGGTATAAGTATTCTAGTACTATTGTTTATGCCTCCATCTGCCAGACAGGAAAAAAAATTATAGAGAAAACTGAAATAAGTCTAGTTATAAAAGTCTTCCCTATATAATTAGATGATTAATATTTGTGAATAGTAATACAAGTGCAAATATATCAAAAGTTATTGGTAAAATATGATTGTGAATAAAGGTATATGTAAAAATATATCACTATTCCCATTAAAAAATATAGGGAAAAACATTATATGTTGACATATCACAAATGTTTTAACTCCAAAATTGAAAACTGATGATGTATGTTGAGATATATTAGTAGTTACGGCAATAGAAATTCAAACTGTGCAGTTTTAGGTCGACTTACCTCGCTTTTCCCTATTAAAATAATGACCGCTTTGTACGCTCAATCGACTTGTCTGTCATTTGTGGTTTAGTACTGCACGTGTGTTACTGTTGGTTTTATCCAGTTTTGTTTTGACCTTTTAAATAAGCTTTAAGTATTCGAGAGAAATGTAATAAGTAGTGTAGTGATAGTATACCTCACCTAGTTGTAATATAAAATCAATTCCAATTGTGATTACTAAGTGATACTGACTCCGATAATGACATCCCAAAGAAAAAGCTGCAAAAAGATACAACAGCACTTATTGCACATGAGTCAGGAAGAGAAATCTTAAAAAATAAACCTGGATGAAAATCGCTAAAAAATGAAACTAGGCTAATTCGTGAGGAACGAAAGCAGAACAGAAACCTTGAGTTATCGTACACCACGAAAAGTGGGAAGGTTATAAAAGCACGGACATGTCAGGAGCTATTAAGTTGCCGCTTAAAATGCAAAGACAAGATAACTGAAGAAAAACGACAGGAAATTTTCAAAGAATATTGGTCTTTAGCGAGCTTTAACAAACGCGTGTCTTTTATAGCTAGGCTTATAACAACAGACGGAAAGAAAACCACAAAATGTAAATTAGAAAACAAAAAACATAAAAATAGGCTTCTGTCACACAAATATTTTTTACCACTAAATGGTCAACTAGTTAACGTTTGTCAAAGTTGTTTCCTAAAAACTTTTAACGAAACAAAACGGTTTCTAACCGTTATGACAAAAAACAAGATTTCTTCAGCTTCTGCAATGCCACATGATGATTTGCGAGGTCTTGCCTCACCATCTAACAAAACTCCCGAACAAGATATTCAATTAGTAAGAGTTCACATTGGATCAATCCCAACGTATGAGAGTCACTATTGTCGTCGTGACTCATCAAAGATATATCTTCCTCATTACTATACCTTAACAAGAATGTATGAAGAATACAAAAAATGGCTACCTCACTAGAAAACCCCAGTATCGAAATTCAAATATCAAGAAGTATTCCATTCCATGGAAATAAAAATCAAACAGCCTAAAAAGGATACCTGCGCTACATGCGATAAATATCATATGCTCCTAAAAACAACTAAAGATGCACAAAAAATGCATGAAATTCAAAATCTTCTTGATAATCACCAACAAGAAGCATCAAACTCTTATGAGGCTAAGCGTATAGATAAAAATGCTGCGTTAGAAAATGAATCAAAAATCATTTATACGTTTGATTTGCAACAGTGTCTCCCCACACCTGATCTTCAGACTTCAATAGCATTATATAAAAGGCAGTTGTGGACCTTTAATTTAACATTACATAGATTTAATGATAATCAAGCAATGTGTTTTATGTGGCATGAGGGCGTAGCTGGACGGGGTGCAAATCAGATTGCTTCCTGCTTATACAAGCAGATTTCACATATTTCACCTGGAATAAAAGAGATCACCTTATATTCTGATACGTGTGCAGGACAAAACAAGAACTCTTTTTTACCTGCAATGTTCATGATGGTTTTAAAAGAGAATCCCAATCTATCATACATTAACCACAAATTTCTTGTTCCTGGTCACACCCACATGGAGTTTGATTCAGATCACGCAATTATAGAGAAAAAAAAGAAAAGATATCCATGTTCGATAGAACACCCAAGAGACTGGATGAATTTGGTAAGATTATGTGGAAATAAGCGAACTTTTTTAGTTACTGAAATGTGCAGATCGGATTTTCTTGAGTTTTCTTCTTTGTATAAGAATGTCCTTCAACAAAGAAAAATTAACAACTTAGGAGAAAAAGTCATGTGGAAACAAATGAAATTGTTGAGATTTTCACAGAATCCTGGTGTCCTTGAATACAAAAGTAGCTTAAATGTAGACGAACCATTTAAAAGCGTATGTTTTTTAAGAAAAGGTAATACGTGGCCTAAAAACATAAAAATTCCTCTGTCATATAAAGGTCCCAATCCAATAAACATCGATAAAAAAAAGAACTTGATAGAGCTATTGCCTTATATTTCTGAAACATTTCATGATTTTTATAGAAATTTAACTACGAAGGAGGATATACCAAATACGTTACCCGAGGATGAAAATAGTAGTGACGAGGAGAGTGTACACACAGAAATTGAAATTTTTAAAAATTAAATAAACTTTTACGTTGTATTTGACTATAAATGTACCCCCTTACCTAAACATAAAACTTTTCAGTTTCACATTTTTTTATTTATAATTAATAATTAGATTTGTTACTATATCTTCCGGAAGGGCTTTTTTCTTTAATAAATAATTGTGAAAAGTGATATAAGTCATATTTTTCTTAAAAAATTGTACAACTAGGTCCTTTTTACTAGTAGATCTATTTTAGTCCAACAAATTCAAAGCCATTTTCAAAAATTGTTTAACGAAAATATCTTATTTGTATCCGTAACAACAATATTAAATTTGAAAAAACTACAATTGCGTTTTTCTCGAAACTTAAAATTTAGACTTATACCACTTTTCTCCAACACCCGCCATATGTTTCTATTGACAGTGTGCATATTTTCTAAAAGAAATGCATATTTAATGCATAATTTTGAGTAAATTAGTCAATATTTATGGGTAGATATCACTTTTTGCATATTTGCCTAAGACTACTAATAAAATAACCATTCTTACCTGTTTGACCATAGGCGAAGATACACGCATTGTACCCCTGAAACGCATTGTCGAGGATGTCTCGGCCCAAACAATCAAACACAACCTCCTGCGAAGCGAAGTCTTTCTTACTGGGATCCACGGAACAAAAGCAATGGTCAAAAGCAAACGATTTTGGTTGCTTTCTGTAACAATTAAAAAAAGATATTTAAACACTATTACAATTAAGAGTACTAAGTCATAATGGGACATATAGTACACTACTCAACAATTGAAGTGGATAATTTTAACATTCCTAAAATTAACATATAAAACTATTTTTAAAATATTTGCCTGTACCATACTCTACATGCTATCTTTATTGCCAATATTTTTTACATACGGTTTTTCTCTCCCTATTCTTATCGGCCCTTATCTCGCACAAAGAGAAAAATGTTGTTCCAAACATGAATATATCATTCGTATAAAAGTGCTTGAATTGGCTTTACCAGTTGTCAAACACAAGAAATCTATTTATCACAAAAACAGTATGCCGCAAAGCCATTTAGAACTAGTGCAGCTCGAGTATCTAGTTCGTTGGATCCAACAAGGCATAACTCAACAAGAGGTTGCTATGAGGCTAAATGTGTCGCAAAGAAACCCAAATTCACGGCTACCAAAATTAACAGTATCTTCAGACATGTTACTGGACGAGCGATTTGCGTGTGGGGAGGCATATTTTTTTATGGTCGCACGACTTAGTCGTCTTAATTAATGAGACAATGACTGCTGCACGATATCAAGACAGAGTCATAGTACCAATAGTTGCTCCATTTATTGGTGCAATAGGCGAACAATTTGTTCTGATTGATGATAATGCTCGCCATAACCATGCGAGAATTATCAACGAATGTATATAAGCTCATGGCATTAAAAGAATGGAGTGGCCACCATGTTCACCTGATATGAATTGCATTGAACATGTTTGGGCCTAAATGTCTATTCAACAAAACAGGCTCCTTCAACCGCCCCAAACCTTATATCAGTTGGCCAATACATTACGTGCGATTTGGGAACGTATACCGCAGCAGTTCATCAATAATTAAATAGAGTCATCCAAATAGAGTTAGAGCACTAAGGCGACACAGAGGTGGAAACCACACACTATTAATTTTTCTTTTCGGGATATTAGAAATTGAGCAGGAATAGAAATTTTAGGTTGTTAATTTTACAATTTTTGTATTTTTTATTTTTTTTTTTCTTAAAGAATTTCTTTCTTTCGGTTCATCTGTTAGGAAATACGAAGTAAAAATAAATCTTTATTTATATCACTTCATTTTTCTATTTGATATAAACAAAAAATAAAATACACATTTTCATAATATCCACTTCAATTGTTAAAAAGTTTATATTTATGATATTAATGTTACAAGTTGTACAAGCTATAAATGTATAAGATGTTATATATCTCTAGTAATCAATTAATTACATTGATCGAAGTATTTAGTATTGACTTCAATATCCAATAAGGAAAAGGAAATATAAAATGAACCTCCACAACTATCATATGTGGTAGTAAAATCTATATTTGTTCCACTATTAAGAGATATACTGAAGAAAAATAGGCATGATCAATTTTTCGTTCCAAACTAGACAAATGTTTCATCTTAAAATAATCACTGAACGTATTCACATCATAAAATAAAAAGGAGGACAATTTAAATACATATTATTTCACTAATCAAACCTTGAATGTGAAAAGAAGTGTGACTCGTAATGGTTGACTAACCATCACAAAGAACAAGCCGTGTACAGTTATAAAAGATAATGGCAATTTTATGAAATTAAAAATAGAAAGCATATCAATATTTTTATTGCCATTGCATGTTGCTTGATTATTTTTAGATTTAAACTTAAACCGAACTAAAGCAACACAAAAAAACGAAAATACAAAAAATTTTAATGAAAAACAAAAGCGGAATTATTATTTTGCAGGTTGATATGTATAGCCATAGCTTCAGATATGACACAGAAAAAAGTAATAATAATCTAGAGGTGTTCCTGAGATACAAATTAGGAAACAATGGAGAACGAGAAGTATCCAGACGATATCTATTATCCTTTCAACTATGGGTGTGATTCTTTGTGAAAAAAGGACACTTTCCTTCTGTGGACTTAAACTATAATTTCAGTGATTTTTTAGATAGGCTTGTCTGTATTTTTAACAAGGCATTTCCTTTAATTATAATTAAGGAACAGTATTAAGTAGAGAGAAACCTATCTAAAACTTACCAAAACAGCTAAAAAAAATGTAAGAGAATCGTCTGGGAAGATCTAAAAATATTGCAAAAGAAACTTGGTCCATAATAAACGATCTTCGAAATAAAACTAACACAGAATACTTCGTTAATGTGAGTAAAAGTATAACACCATTTATTTTGCCCCAACAAGATCCTATTTCCTATCTCCTCGATTCAAAAAAGGTCTCGAATTCATTCTTTATAAAACCAGTTGATAAATCTGAACTGATCCAGGCAATCAATAGTATCAAAAGATGATCTTCCTGTAGTACTGGGGCCAGTACTACATAAGATAGCCATTATGATTCCTCTTGCCAGTATTATCCTAAATTATTATTGAGAGACTTATAAAAGCTCGACTTATGTCCTTTCTCGATGAAAACAACATTTTCTGTTACTGGACTATGACTGCTATATTGTAGTTAAAAAATACAAACAATAATTGCAAAAGTTTATGATATATAAACTATCCTGTTAAGATAATATATTATCTTCATTCCAATATTTGTTTACATACAAGCTGCAAAAATATTTCCGTCTTCGTGCGGTTTGTGATTAGAGCATCGCATGTATCATTTGCGGAAATGATAATGTAGAACAAAGTTTTGTTTAATTTGGTTTTTAGAAGAGAAATTATTTCATTTGAGGTGTTGACTATCACTAATATTTAAGTTAACTATGCAATGAATGGATGCGTTATTAATTAACTCATATTGTTCGACGATTAGGTGTCATGCAAAAAATTTTTGGACAAAAAGCTGTTATTCATGATTGGGGATGCATGATTGAACAGTTTTTATGACAGATTATTCCAACGGAGTTTATACAGGATCTTCTTGCTTCATTATTGTACAGCATTTATAAAAATAATATGACTACACCGACAAACTTTCAATATAATACAAAATAAAATGCAAATGAGCTGTCATAACTCGATTTGACATGATGTTCTCAAATTCTCCCATTCATTATCTATATCTGGTTTCATTGATAAGGTAAAGATCTTTAGAGAGAAAGATTTTTGTTGGTAGAGTTGATTAAAAAAAAGATTAGAGAAAAGCTTTTTATTCACTGGCTTTTCTTTTCGTGATTATAAGTTCACTTTTCCTCATTACCACTGCTTCAGCAGCCGGCTTATCAAGTAGTGATCTCATCATCCAAAATCATTATCTTGTCAGCATACACTTTCCCACCAACCTAAGCGGAAAGATTCACTTACTTCCACCGTAAATGTCTAGGTAGATCAATATCAAAAGAAAAAACAATTTGTGTTATTATAAACACACTAAAAATGTTTATATTAACAATTTTAGAAAGGTGAAATGAAAATGCTACATATTAATATAAAGTAGTTCTCTAATATCTCTTTTTAGAAGGTTAATAAGTGTACAGATAAGTAACACCGTCATATGTGAAGGTTTTAATTTTTTCACTGTATATTGCAACTGAGCTGAAACTATATTTAGAAATAAAGTGTTTTGAATTTGTTTCACCGAAGTTGAATCTTTCTCTTCAACCTCGTATATCGTTGACTTCCTAATGTAATATGTTTCATGTCTAATTTATCTTATCCCAATCCGTTTAGCTCTTAAAGTCTTTCATCCAATTACGTGTTGCTCTGTGACATGTCGCCGATCAAATTCCCCCATTCACTTATGTACTTCGTAAATTAGCAATTAAATCGAAAACAAAGCCTATGTTTCGGAGACTATAATCCAGACAATGTTTTGCATGTATGCTCTAAGTTTAAAGCCTAGCTACATGATATTCTGTAGGTGTATATTGTTCAGCTCGATGTTAACAATTTTAAGCATTTAAATAATTGGGAGAAAGCTACAAGAATGGTTGTAATTGTCGTCTTCTATTTAGTATTAGACTAAATAAATAACTTCACAAATCTGGGAATGGAAATAATACGTCCAAAGATATGTCATCTTTATTAAATTTACCTTACTGTTCGTGCTTACGTTATCTTCTTCTTCTCCACTGCCGTTAAAACTCAGCTTACAACGTCCTGAAATAGGACCTTACCTACCAATTCTGTAGGACTACATAGATGTAGCTAAAAATTATGCTTGTGGTCAGTTGATGACTATTGATGAAATGCTAGTAGAGGAAGATTTCGATATAAAATGTATATGCGGAATAAACCGAACAAATATGGCATAAAAATAATGTTTTGTGCGATGCTAAGACACATTATTTATTGAATGCATTTATGTATGCTGGAAAAGATGATTGTTCCAATCCGAAAAAAATATCCATTCCCACACTTAACGTTTTACAACGTACAGCCAATTGTAAATAGTAATTGATATTTCACGGTTTGCCTAATAAAGACCGCCCCGCTTTGTCAACAATTTTTGGATTTACAAACGATATAACACTCATATCATATGTGCCTAAAAAGCGCAAAGCTGTCATAATGCTGTCTTGACTACACCATACTGCTACAATTGAAAATAATGAAAAAAAAAACTTCCCGAAATTATTAATTTTTATAATTCAACAAAAGGAGGAGTTGACAGCTTGGACCAAAAGTGCGCCTGTTATAATTTAGGTCGAAGAAGTAGATGTTGGCCATTGACGATATTTTATGGAATGATAAATATTATGGTTGTAAATTCTCACGTTATTTATAACAGTGCTGTAGATACTAGAAAGACAATGGACAGGCCACAATTTATTATTTCTTTAGGAAGAAAACTTATCAAGGACCATCTTCAAATCAGGGCTGAAATAAGAAATATTCCAATTATCCTTCGAGGTATAATAAGGCGTTTTATTGGACCACCTGCAGAACTACCCAGACAAGATAATCCCCATAACAAGAAAAGCCGGTGATGTCACGTGTGTTCTAACGACAACAAACATCCAAAAATGTGCTCAGTATGTACTAAGTGTATTTGTAAGGAGCATAGCATTGAAGTCTTCAAATAATTTCAAGGTACAAAATACCATGCCCTAGAGTTTTTGACTAAAATTCTTAATGTTTTATTTCTTTTTTTCCAGGATGAAAAAAAAAATAAGTTTGAAAATGGAGTACCTAATTATATTTAAGTTTTTTAAATATTGCAATTATTATTTAGTTAGTTTTCATATAACCGTACAAGAAATACAATGTTTATGAATAATTCATGTTGTTTTTACTGATTTGTCTAAGAGTTTACCCTATTTAAATATTCTGCAAAACGCCACTAAAACTAGTATTGATTATATAAAATGTTGTTCACTGAATTCACCTTGAAAACTTATTCCATTTTCGATCTTTGTATCAAATGAACGACCTCACCGTGTATATTACGTTTGTAAACTTTAATCTCGGTGAATTTAATTGAAAGGTGCTCCTATTAAATGAGTTACGTGCGTCGTTACTTTTTGACAATGGATTTGACCTCTAGAGGTGTTGACAATCAAATACTTATCTTGTTATAACTTGGTAGTATTGTCAACGGTGCATTTTTAGAGAATACAATGATTTTTTTCAATTTCAATTTTACAATAACAGATATTTTTTGATTATTAAGCATTTGTGGATGGTGTAATGACTCGATTATTTATATCTTAGGCAAAATATAGCTAAACAATCAACAAGGCAAGCAGCAAAGACAAATCGGACAGTTCTGGGTGAACTAGGCACTGACTACTTTCCTATAAAATTAACGAATTTAAGTACAAAATAAATGTTTTACACGAATACAGAGAGGCACACGCAAATACCTTCATCAATTAGCCTATATTTGTCCACTGCTGAGCGTAGGCCTCCCGTAAAATTTTCCACCTATTTCTATCTTGAGCTTCTTGCATCCAGTTTGTGGTGATGCGATTGATATCATCCGTCCATCTGTTCGGTGGTTGTCATCTGTTTCGATATGCCTCTTGCCTTCTTCGCCATTCCACAATCTTTTTGGTCCATCTATCATCTGTTAACCTGGCAACATGTCCCATGTCTCGTCTAATGTTGATCATTACTTTTGCTCTATCCAACCGATGGTCACTCCCAACAGTGATTTTATTAATTACTGTAACAATATTTACTGGGACAATATTTTTTCTGTTTGTGATGATGAAATCAATTTCGTTTTTTGTTATGCCATCTGGATTAGCCCACGTCCACTTAGAGCCGATGATACAACAAAAAATAATGTAGCACACCTCCTCTACAATTTCGCTCACCGTATCCAAATGAGTACATAGCCACTTCTGCGTTATGTTCTTTAAATCTAAGTTTAGCGTTAAAATCGCCCATTAAGATTAGGTGGTGGGTTTTATATTTTTCTATAGCTCTATTTATATCTCGTGGGCTCGTCATGGGTGCATATACTTAGATCATTTTAATAGAGCGTCTCTCGTTCAGTTTTATTATGAGGTACACAACTCTTGAGCTTACACTCTCTATTTTTATAATTTTATGCAGATATTTCTTGTGCACGAGAAAGCCTACGCCTCCAACTGCCTTATCGTTTTCTACAATGGAATGTAGCAGATGCCCTGATTTTAAAACTAATTCGTTTTCCCCTTTTCTTCGTATTTCGGAAAGTCCCAATACATCCCATTTTATGCAGTTAAGTTCTTCCTGTAATTCAATATGATTATCTTCAGTAACAAGCGTTCTTACGTTATAAGTGGCAATATGCAATGTTCGTTGTCCATGGTAGCCGTGTCTATCCCGATTCTTTGCACCCTCTGCCCTTGGTCCAATCTGGTGGCTACCTTCGAAAGGGAGCGTTGGGCCGCCGGGGACTAATGACTTTTTTCTAGTTTGTGTCATGTCATTTAAGGGGAAAATTAGCTATTTCACTACCACGCTGGCCAGTACGGGTTGGTAGCGGGATATATCGGTATGTGGTAAGGATTGGAAAATGGGTACGGCGTACGTACGGCGCCGTAGCGTACGGCAGGGACGCCACTCCCTGTAGCCGCCTTTCCTCTACCGAGATCGTAGAAGAGTGCTACCTGCTACCATTAAACCGCAAAGACCTTAGTGAATCATAAATCCAGGGGCGGGTACATAAGATAATTGGAAATTATGATAATCGATCCTGCATGTTGTTTCAGATCATATGATACTCTTAAGTTGTCGTTTTCTTCTCTTGTGTGATATTTATCATATGTCTTTCGGTCGCTTTTACGTTTTTCTGTTTTATATCTGGAATGTCTATGTTTGGAAACTGCGTTTCATCATTATCATTCTCTTTTCCTTTAACACTATACGGGGTCGCTTCTCTAATTATATTTCTCCATGAATTAGAGAATAACAACACTAGCAACAACTTAGTTGTCACTCTCTCCTACATGTCTCTCAGAATCTTTACATACTCAGCGAGAACTCCCTTTAGCATCCAAACACATCAAAATATATCGAACAATTATATACTTTCTTAAGATCAATATATATCATATGATGCTTTTGTTACTTTATTCCTACATTTTCCAATTAGTTGTCTTATAATGAAAATTGCATCTGTTACTGATCTGTCTTGCATAAAATCCAAATCTGATATTTTCAAGTAACTCGAAAGTTTTGTGACAGAAAATATCCAGCAGAAGCAACTCACGTAATAATTTAATATAATATGTAAATTCACGTTCTCAATAAATTTCAACATTTCAACCAAACTAGAAAACTATTTCGAATGCACCTTTCACAGCATTTAACTTTATTAATAAATCCCCAAACTACTTAAAATAGATTAAATCTTAATAGGTAGACATTTCGTGGAAGGTTTTATTAATAAATATTTTGCACAACGTGTAACCTTGATACCAAAAGGAAGTTTTTAGAGATAAAGAATGGAGGTCGATGAAATATCGCTAGACAAATTGCGGTATTTATAAACCCTAGTTTGTTTATTTATTATATCAACAAGAATCTCTACGTTAAGTCTGAATTAGTGAATCATTCAAAAATGATGCGCTTAATTGAACAACATGTGTGTACAGTAAATTGTTTTTCTTGTGTGGTATAACGTGAGAGACAAAAACTGTATACTGCTTTTGGAAATCCGTGATAGTACAATTGCTGTGGCAGAAGATGGCAACGATCTTTATACAAGTTTATTCAAAGTAGATAAATTATAAATATCGATCATAAACTTATCAGGATGGCAACACCGCACCACCTAACCTTCGACTGGAGTACAATATAATACCCTTGTTAGCTAGCGCCTAGCATTAGCACGATTTTTAGTTTATCTCTTTGTGATGTGCGAATACTGTCGTTTGCATTTGGGTAATAGATCGCAACGGTGAACAGAATATACGCGTGTAATTATTTAATTATACTAGGTACCTGTTATATTTCTTAATTTATTATATTATTATTAATTATTTAATCTCCGCCTCCGGTAAGTGCTGGGTGGATTGAGTAGCTCAGTACATGCCGGTGCCGGTCCCAGGCCGGATAAAGGAGGAGGGTTGAGGCGATGGGCTAGCAACTCATCCCTTGTCAAAAGAATTAAATGCTAAAAATTTCGACCAAAAGCCTCAGAATACAAAGGATGGATCAAAACAAAGACGAGTAATGCAACGGAGAAGGAAAATGATATTGGCTACATGGAATGTACACGGACTGAGATCCAAATAAGCAGAAGTGATTTGTGATCGAAAGTACTTGGGCAAGATTTGATTAACTACTGTGTTCGATATTTGCCTTGTGTACCATCAAAGTTCACTTAATTTTTATTAGAAATTACTTAAAACAGTTTGTTTCGTTTGTGTTTACGTTACTATAATAATAAAAGTTTAGAGAATTAAAATTTTAAGATTTTATTGTAAAAATACAAGGGCTCCGTTTTTCATGCCGGTGAGTGTATATTGCCCATTTGATTTTGTCAAAATTTTGCTCTAAAATGAGAAACAAGAAAATATTAAGAAGAAGACCTTAAGAAGTACAAGTCTCTTGATATTATCGTTCTTTCTTAGTCTCTGAATTTTCGCATCAGGCTTTTTATATCAGAATATCACTCAATGCACTCAAAATGTTCGAAGTTTTTAACCATTTTTATTTACCATGTATGAACAAATAAACCGTAATCCAATTAAAAAGTTTAAAATAACACAATTTCGCCAGCTACAAAACATTTATCTGAACACAATTCTCCTCCCATCGGCTTTGTTGTTTCAAAAGCCATTGTTTTCTCTGAAATTCTAAAGGGATAATACCAAAGGAAATGTCTTTGTCTTACCTATCCATTTTGTCCATAGAGGTAGCTTGGTGTATGATTGTTTGATCCTTCTCCATTTCCACCACACTCTGTGCCCTCATTTCAAGTTCTGAAATAAAAGTTGTCTTTTAGATTATGAAATAGGCAAAATTGGTACACTGTTTATATCTATCGTATGGAAAAAAGAACTAAAATTTAACAAAAAAGCAACAAAACGCAAAACTATTATATATTCTAAACAGCATAAACCATTATATTAACTCTCTTGTTTTTGATTACGCAAATCGTTCACATGAATGCTATTCTTGCAGCTTACATATTTTTCAGCTATTCAGCTAGTGGCGTAATACAATATATCTATCTATTATCTATAATATCAATATACTTCAATAATTACTTTAATTCAATAGCTAAACATATTAGAAGTTCTTTTAATTCCAAAAATGAAAATGTAGTCATAGATTTTTTCAAAGATGTACCCTCTCCTTGTCACTCCTTACTTGTATTACCAGTTAGTAATACTGATATCTGGAATGTTTATCATAGCTTGAAAAATTCACACTGTACGGATTTTTATTTCTTAAACAAAAAAATAATTGGGAAAAAAATAATTATTGACAAATTAATTATAATTTATAACAATTATCTTACTGAAGGGATTTTCCCAGATGTATTAAAAGTAACAAAAGTGCTACCAGTGTTCAAAAAGGAACCTTTAGATGAAATTGGAAATTATCGTCCCATCTCAATCATTCCCATTTTCGGCAAAATTTTTGAGAGTATTCTAAATGTTCGTTTGATAGAATATGAAAAACATAAAATACTTTACTGTTATCAATATGGCTTTAGAAAAAAGTGTAGCACTACACTAGCTATACAGAAAATTGTGAGAGACCTAGTTAATGGCGTGGAGGAAGGTCATTTTGTGCCTCTTGACTGTTGGAAAATAAAGTTGGGAGATAAAGTAGACATTTTTAAAACATTTTTTTGCTACTCATTTACGCTGTAACCACAAGGGTTATTAGCGATATAAAAAAAATAATACAGGTAAAGTTAGAAAAAATTATAATAATTGATACAGTCCTGAGTCTTTAAGATAACTTAATGTGTTTTTAATGTTCATGTTTTTTCTTAAGACTTCCTCTATATTATTTGGGATAGTGTGCTTCTTTCTTGCTGCTTCATATGTTTTGCACTGAGTATATGCTTCATGGAGAGTGTTACTTGATAATGTTCACACATTGGCGGTACAGTTTGCGTAAAGAGGTGTTTATGTGTAAAGTTACTGTGTCCTAGTCGCAAACGTGTTATTCTCACTTGGTCGTGTCTATTTGCCGTGGGGTTAGAGCCACGGATTCACTAATGGTTTGATTTCCTTGAGTTTATTTTGTAATGCACTCCACTTATTTTGCCACGCACTTGTCATCTGAAGAAACCTCATTAATAAGATTGGAGTCTTGGCTGAAGGATGCTAAGCGGGCTAGTTCATCTGCTTCTTCGTTTCCTTGTAAGTATACCTGAATGTGATGGAACAAACATAAAGTCAACAGTGATCTTATTATTATTTAGAATCTCTATTTCTGATTGGATATGTGAGGTTATTGGATTATTGGTATATAAACGTTTGATAGTGTGAAGTGAGATTAGTGAATCGGTTATTATGAGAGACGGGGACTGTTTCCACTCTGTTATGTGAATAAGTGCTTGTAATATTGCAAACAACTCTTCAGTGTATGACGAAGTAACGGGATTGAATTTGAATTTTAAGGATGTATTGGGTGCGAGGATGGCTGCACCAACACCGTCTGAAGATTTGGATGCGTCAGTGTATATCTTATACTGAATTTTAGAAGTTTCCATTTCTATTAAGAATGATTGTTTGATCAGGTCTGTTATAGTCTCACTTTCTTTATATATACTAAGGTTAGTATTAATCTTGGGAATTGGTATTAACCAAGGTGGAGAAGTTAGGAAATTTGTTGGGAGAATTTCAGGAAATTCAAGATATAGGCCATGAATGTTTCTTCTAACTCTTTCGTAAAATGGTGGATCTAGTCTTGTTGTAGAGAAAGTGTCTTGAAATCGATCTGTGAACGTGTTGGTATAAGTAGGGTGTTCTTTATTACTAGCTATTTTAGAAGCATATGATAGAGAAAGGTATTTGCGTCGTAAACTTAGGAGTGGTTCTCCTGTTAAGCATTGTAAACTTTCAACTGGTGTTGTTCGAAACGCACCTGTAGCTATTCGTAGAGCTGTATTTTGAACAGTTTCTAAGGTTTTCAATACTGATACTTTGCTTGATGAATAAACTATGGCACCATAGTCGAGTTTAGATCTAACTAAAGATTTATATACATCTAATAGTGTATTTTGATCTGCTCCCCAGTTTTTGCTGGAAATAGCATTCATAAAATTTAATCCTGCTTGGCATGATTTTTTAAGCTTTTCTGTATTTTTTTCCAGGAGAGCTTTTGGTCGAAAACCATACCTAAAAATGTGATATTATTTGTGAAACTGAGGGTTTGATTATATAGCTTCAGATGTGGAGTTATAGTGTTATGTTTTCGTGTGAATAAAATACATTTGTCGGTGAAAATTGTAATCCGATAGTCCTTAACCATGATTCTAACTGATTGATTGTTTTTTGTACGTAAATGTTTTTGAATACATGTAAAGTTTTTTCCTTTGGCAAATAAAACTAAGTCAACAACGTATAATCTTCCTTTAACAATCGGTGAGCATTGTTGAAGTATGTCGTTTAAGGCTATTAGAAAAAGAGTTGAGCTTATAACTGATTCTTGTGGTACTCCGTTCTCTTGGAACTTTTTTATCTGAGTTAACGTTGTCTGATCGAACTATGAAGCTACTAGATTGAAGAAAATTTGAAATAAATTTAACATATGGCCTCTGATATTCCAATTATGAAATTTTGATATGATATTGAATCGCCAGACGGTATTATAAACTTTATTAATATCAAAAAATCCGCTTTGTTGTGGAATAAGGAGTTTTTGTTGTTCTAAATACCATCTCAGCCTTTTATTTACCATTTTTTCTAACACTTTACATATAATATTGGTTAAAGATATTGGTCGATATGTAGTTGTAATGTTAAGGGGATACCGTCTGGTTCTGGGCTTGAATCTTTGGAAGAGTTTAAGGCTTCAGCAAGTTCTATGAAGGGAAAAGGAACGTTAAGGTTGTGAATCTCATGTCCGTCGAATCTCAATATGTTTTTTACTATAATACATTGTTTTTATGTATTTTAAAATTAGCAGTGTAATTTTAATCAGTGGAATTTAATTGGTATTGATCTGCTATCATATCTACGATTTCTTTTCGATCACTAATTATTTTGTTATTTTTTGCTAGAAAAGGAATCTTATATGGTTGGCTTTTGCCAGAGATTTTCCTTAAGTTTCTCCAAACTGTACTTATGCCTGAAGAGGTATTTGGAGATGAGATGAATTTTTTTCCAGGATTTTGTTTCTATTCTTTTTAAGAATGTATCTTGAAAGCTTTCTTATACACTCTTGTAGCTTGGCTGCATTCAGTTGTCCACCACGGAAGAAGTTTATGTTTCTTTAAAATGTTTGTTTTTCTTACATACGTCTCTGCGGCTGCTGTGATGGTTTGTAAAAATGTACTGAAAAACTTGCCAATGTCGTTTGATGATGTGAAGTTGGTTTGGTTAATGTCCAGTTCGATCTGTTTGGTAAAGTTCGTCCAATAAGCATTTTTAATATTCCACTTTGAGATAGGCGATTCGATATTTGTGGTTTTCTGATGCGTTAAAGAAAATATAATGGGGCAGTGGTCACTACCATATAAGTAGAGTAGAACGTCCCATGTTAACGTAGTGGACAGAACTGGGTCACACAGAGAAATATCAATTGCCGATGATGTGCTATTTTGTATGTTGAATCTGGTTGGTCTTCCGTCGTTTTGGGATATTATAATATCTTCTATAATTCGTCCTTTCGGGTTGAGTTGGAACCCCACATCGGATAGTGGCAGTTAAGATCTCCAACGATAATTCTAGGTGAAGGTTTTTATAACATTATTTTTATTCAAAAACAGAGTACTTGAGTACAGTTTTCACACAATAGTACTAGTTTGATCAGGGTATTATGACGATATTTCATGTTTTTATATGTTTATTGAGTGTGTTTGTCGTTTCTTAAATTGTTAGTAATAAATATCTGTTTGTAATATTTAAATTCGCTTTCATTTTATAATGTTGTATGTAATAATTGTCCTCCTTTGAGTTGTCAAAAACAAAATTATTTTTGTATATTGACTAAATAAATTCTATTCTATTCATCAGCTTCAAATGACCAATAATATTGGATGGAGAAATGATAGAACAAGGTTTGAACATGAATTTAGGTCATTGGTGAATTCAAAGATAATGGGAAAGACAGTAAGATTTGATTTCACGTATTGTGCGTCGAAAATTAGTTTACGGATTCAAAAATAATGTTTTTTACTTGTGTTTTTGAAACTTGAAAATCGTAATTTTGTGTTTTTATCAGTTTTAAATTATTTACTTGAAAACAATCAAGTTTGCAGAAAAATTACAAGAGACCAATTTTGTTCAAAATGATCCAAAAAATTAAAAAAAAAAAAAACTTTTTCCGGCCGAAAAAATTGATTGTTACAATATGTTTAAAAAAATTGATCAACTTTCCGAACGAACCCGAGCTTTTCGTCTCTTCAAATTTGAAGAGTATAGTAAAACGCCCTCATAAGTTTATCGGAGTCTAGTGATTCATTTGTTTGGCGGTAAATGGAGCTAAATATAGATTTCAACGAAGCATTCATTATATTAGGATTTATAAACGCATCCGGTGCTTTCACACAGCTATTAAAAATTCATTTTGTATCAATTCTTTACATATTTTACTAACAAACAAAAATTGTGTGGATTTTGATTTAAATAAACAAAAAACATAAAAAAGTACTCTCAAGACGTGCTTATTTCGTTCATGCTGAGACGTTGACATATTTTAACAATAGTATGTTTTCGCAAGCCTAAACACGCCCAAATGCGATGGGTCTAAATCAAACACTGTCGTTTGCGCTATCGGGTCCACACTGGAATATTTCCTGTTAGCACCAGTAACCCCTGTTCCTAATCCCTTTAAGTACTGTATTTTTCAAACATCGGTATTAGTAGTAATGTGAGCAATTTCGGTTAACGTAACTCGTTAAGATGATATTTAGTAAGAATTGTAAATCTTATTTTGCTCACAAAATGAACTTGGAGCTAATCACACATTATTTGACTATCTTTGACTTACGTGATTAAAACAATAGGAAAAACTTTATCTTCTTCGTCTTATATTAGGCTCCTTGGCCTGTTTTTCACTGATTTTAAGTTTGAATTCGTAGCTGTGATATCGAACGCTCCTTATCACGCCACGTTTTACAGAGTAACGATGTCGAAATGACAAATGCGACGTATTCATATGTCTAGTCGACTTTGAAAACAAAGTACAACATCGAAGAATGGCAGAAATACTGCAGAACACAGAATTAGATGACGAAGACGTGAGAATCATTGCCAATCTATACCGATATCAGAACGCCATAATACGAATAGATCAACAAAAATCAAAAGAAATACCTATAAATCGTGGACTAAGACTAGGATGTGTGCTTTCCCCTTTACTTTTTAATATGTATTCAGAATTATTTAAAGAGGCATTAGGAGACGTAAATGAAGGCATATTTATTAACGGAGTACTTTTGAACAATCTTAGATACGCAGATGACACAATAATCCTCGCGGACAGCAGAGAACGACTACAGATCTTGGTTGATCGCATTAACCAATACTGCAAAAGGTATGGAATGGCACTGAATAAAAATAAAACAAAAATCATGGTGGTAAGCAAGAACAAGACTGTGGAAGACAAAGTTTATGCTAAGAGAAAACTTTTAGGCAGGATGCACAGATATCAGTACTTAGGTTGCGAACTAAATGAAGAATAGGATAGAAGAACGAAAATAAAACGGCGTATTGAGATAGCTAGAAGTGCTTTTAATAAGATGAAAGCAATATTATGAAATGGAAAACTGAACATTGAAATTAGAACTAGAGTATTGAGATGCTATGTGTTCTCTGTCCTGTTGTATGGAGTTGAGGCCAGGACAATTACAGAGGCGACAGAGAAAAGATTGACTTTAAAATGTGGTGTTATTGAAGAATGTGGAAAATATCTTGACACAACACATAACAAATGCGGAACCGCTACGAAGAATGAAAAAAGATATACTCAACACTATAAAGAAAGAAAAATTAACTACTTTGGTCAGAACCCAACAAAAATTGCTCTGCAGCTTTCCAAAATCGTCATGTCGTTAGTCGCGGGTGAGCTAATCGCTCATTTCTCGACATCTGCGTAAAATATTCTATACACAATAGTAGTAGGAAGGATTACATGAGCGCAGTTGTCAATGTGAGTAAAATTGTGAAAAATGTTAAGAAAAAGTAAAATGATGAGCGTTGAGCTCACCATGCGACCAACGCAGGGTTAAAACACCAAAATAAAAGTAAAGAGAGAAAACTCCAGCAGAGAAGCCAGTATTACTAATTAATATTTAATTAGGTACTATGCCAGCAGAATACCTTATCAATTTTAACATGTTATTGTGGTTGCATTAATCAATAAAAATTACAAGCCAGGTGGAATTTCCACACTTTTCATAACCCTGTATAAGATGCATTTTGTTAATTGATCCTTAGAGTATATCTCGCATTAACTGTTTATTTCATTAATTTAAGTGATATTAAACATCCAATAATTTAATCAAAAGTGTTCTAAAAATAGAGAAAGAAGTAAATGGCATGTCAAAGGGGTGTTCAGTTTGTTTTAGTGGTTTATTTAATATCTCAATAAATTTATGAGCACCTTAAAGAGTCATAGAACAGTGTAGCTTTAATTAAATTTTGATAATGAAGGAGAGGAGTGATACTGAAAAATATGTTCATTAATTTTTAACACACAATGTTATGATCTATTATGGTGTAATAATAATATATAGCATAAAATGAAAGTGAAGCCTTAATTAAACCAGACTTGCAGGCCTCAGTGATAGATAACACGGGTTTACATTAGAATAATCACATACATTTTTATTACATAACTAAGTAAATAAATATGTTGCCCTCTTCACATTAGATAGCATCATCATCATCACTACATTCGTCATTTCCCAAAGAAATTATATATGGCTGTATTAGGTATTTCTTCTATTTTCATGTCGAGTTCCAAAACTTTCTTCCTTTTCTATGACACATATTTTTTTGTCAATTGCCAGATAACATTTTTGATTTCAAATCATTTAGTAGTTGACGAATAGGTTCAGTTTTAATTAAGCTATTCAGCTATTAAGTTTACATTGATAAGATGGTAATTACACCAATTAAGTAATGCAACATACTTACTTCTTAAATTTTGGAGAATGAAAGCTATTTTTTTAATATTCCTTCTTCTGCCTTTATTTCTTTTTGAAATAATTATTTTTTTTTATTATTTAACCATGAGTGGTAACTGGCATTGTCTATAACTATGACAGAATTTTTTGGTAGAAAATGTATTGTTTGACCAAATTCTTTGTCACTAGTTTATGACATTACATTGAGGATTATTATAAAAACTGTGCTATCAATAATTTTCAAACGGAGTATATGTAGTACATAAAACAAATACATTTTTGTTTCATTTGTGTCATTTTTTACATTATCTACAAAACATCACATAATTAGGAAAATAAACCAAGCAGTAACTAAAATGATAATAACAATATATTCTGATAAAGTATGTCATAAATCGTAACATATTTTTACACATTTTATTGGTGTTTGTTCAGATTAACTTTCTAGATGTTTATTTCAAAGGAGAAGCTGAATTTTGCTCAGGTTTTGATAACAATAACAATCTACTCTAACAATACAGTTTATCAAGTACAACAGATCTTCACTTTGAGGCCTATTTCTCTTTTGACATCATTGGACTGCACAATATCCAAGATGCACTTAAAGAGTATCAAATTGATTATTGATATTCCAACCTGAACCACAGCATATACTAGATCACGACAATGACACCAAAATCAGATGAGTAAACAGAATAAATATGGAACAGGTGTCAGACAGGGTGATATATTATCTTCAAAACTTATATACTTAACTATTCTTGAATGTACATTTATAAAGCTAAAAGTGATCTTCATTTAGCTGACAATGTGGTTCTTATAAGAGTATATGACAACTTGGCAAGAATGAAAAGTATGACAAAACAACTGGATGACACCTGTGGAGAAGTTGGACCCAGAATACATTTTAAAGTGGGGCTAGTAAGATGGCAAGAAGAATAAATCTGATTTAAAGGAACATTAAGGGATATGTTCAAGAGAGCCATCCCCCATATTTTAAAGAGGAAGGTAGTGGATTAGTGCCTGTTTTCATATATGGAGAATATTTTGAGATATAAAGTACAACCTATCTTCAGGTTCAGGAATATGACGTGGACAAGCAATCTGCTGGAATTAAGACCAAAAACTGATAAATGCAATGGAACCGACCACTAACACACTCAGGATCGAGATGTATAGATTAAATTTTCCCTAAGCAAAGACCTAAGGCACCTTATTACTACCATCATCAGTAACTGCGATGCATATTCTATTTATATGGTGCCTTAGTAAATTCAGTTTTTAAGTAATCTTTTTGATATGCCAAAACCAACAGAACCTGACATAGAACCTGGAACCTGACGTTTGACTTTACAAAATCTGAATATTGTCAACTGTTTTGTTCCAATTTTTCCACAAAAACATCAGCAAATAGTAGACTGTAAGTCTCTAACATAAAATAGTTATTTTCGTTTTTAAATTATTGATAAATTAAAAAAAAATTGGAGTGATATAAATATTTTACATTTTTATAAATATCTCTACTTCCACTGTGTTTATATGAATAAGAATAACAGTTATCTTATCAAATTGACTACATTTACCTTCGAAAGGATTTACATTGTAGAAAACTCTTTAAAAATATGCAGATTAAAGCACAGAAAAGTGCTCTTAAAACTGGGTACAAGATAGATAGCAGTAAAAACAATGAAATAAGTTGCGACGGGTAGTTGTCCTAAAACGACAAGATAGTATTAAAGTGTTTTAGACTTTTACATATAGGTAAAATCAATTTTGACCATGAATTAGTCAATGCTGTATACTAAAAGGTGTTTTATTTACATTTTATATAAATAGTTGATTTTATGTAATTTTTGTTTCAATGTCAAAATTTTATTCTTTGTTCCATTGTTTTTATGAAAATAATTTTAGGAATAAATTTATAATTTTAAGTTGACAGGTTTTGAGTCAAAATGACAATACCATGAATCATCAGGGGTACCTAAGCAATTCAGCATACAGCAATAATAGACAAGGTTTTTAAAATGAAAACAAAGTCTGGCCGTATTTATACAACAATGATTATGAATAAAATAGTTTTGTAATATGATTTAGCAGTAAAATATATACCTCTTCTGTTAAAAGGACGGAGCCGAACAGCAACTTTAATTTTGTCTGTAGACATTTTTGTTTCTTTTCACTAAATTAACAACAGATACGTATATTTACACTATTATCACACTTTCTTTGTATAAATAATTTCTTAACTATCCATTTTCAAACATAGTAAGTCACAAGGTAGCACTTATCACAACACGTAAATTCACAACTTTCGCCATATTCGAGAACACAATATTGGACATTGCGCTGTAACACTCATTTTCTGTGGACTGCGCAAATTTTGTCTATATTCACCAGTTCTCATTCTTTAATAATTCCCTTCCCAGAGACCTCTGCCCACTATCGATTCAACTTAATGTCTCATGCAGAACTTCTGTATATACATTGATCTTTTTGCGCCATCTCTCGATACGTACTATAATTAAGAGAAGACCTAGCATAAATTCCTAGTTTCATATCACGCCGCGCCGCGTCAAGTTTCCACATACATTCATAGATAGTGCTCTGCATCCAGTTCAAATGAAATGTCCATGTGATGGTGGAAAAATTTTTATCAAAAATTCACTGAAGAACAAAGAAAAATATTGTTTGAAGGTTTTTATAATTTATCAGAAGATGGACAAGATCAGTATATAGCAGAGACTGTCAAAGAAACGACAAAAGGAAGAACAAGAATTGTAAAGGAAAGTGAAAAGTTTGACAATTACTATAGATTGTCTCAAAGTGACTTGTCTGTACATGGTAAATGCACAACATCGGTGCCATACTTCTTTGCAAACTTGTATTAAAATAAACCTCACTTCTTACTACTTAGCCTAATCCATCTTTTATTTTGAGGGTAGCATAAGTACTAATGCCTACTAACGACCCTGTCTGGCTTCCTTCTGCCAGTGGTTCTCAAACATAAATAATATTTGCTACAACATACTTAGGTTAAATTAAAATAAAATAGAAATTAGGAAATGCCTTTTATTTATGTCACACAAGCCGTTTGTTTTTAATTCTACAGTATGTGCTAGCGATACAAACCATTTGTTTATAGATTTAAATAAAATCGAATAAAATAAAACTAAAATAGAAAGAAACATTTTAATTTTGTATTGTTCCGTTCAAAAGTTACGGGGGGAAGGACTTTTAAAAACCACACTATATATGTTGACAGTAAAACAAAACGTAGAAATATCCGAAAATAAAATTAATAAATAAGTTGAAAATAAAAGAATTCTTGTATTTAATTTCGTGTGTAAGTAATCGTAATTTTACACCATTATATTTAGTTCCTTTTTCTGTCAATCGGTGTTACATTTAGTTTCTGCTTAACTACCATCATCATCATTATTATTGTCACTGTCACCACTGTCTTCGTTATATATATATATATATATATATATATATATATATATATATATATATATATATATATATATATATATATATATATATATATATATATATATATATATATTTATAATAATTGGTTCGATATCATCCAACAAATTGTTAGTTTAATACATTTTTTCTGTTACTATTACGTGGTTTACGTAGTTTTTCCATTTCTTTGGCGTAATGACCTGGTACGCTGCTGTAAATAAATTTCGCATTTCAACTTCTTTAAGCAGGGTAAAATTGAAGAAAGGAGAGCCCCAGGACGAAGAAGAATATCCTGGCTTGCTAACTTAAGAGCATGGTATAGAAAGACCTCAACACAGCTATTTCGTATAGCAACCAACAAAATCATCATAGCCAGAATGATCGCCAACGTTCGGAACGGACAGGCACCCTACGAAGAAGAACTTCTTTAAAAATCGCGTTGCGTCCAGCTATATACCGTTTCACTTCGCTCCAAACCATTTCGATGGGATCGAGTTCACAGTGATAGGGTGGGCGCCTCAGAATCTTCACATTGTTCTTTTTGGTAATATCTTCTATTATGTACCTGTCATATTTTGCTTTGAAGGCCTTGACTGCATCAAGTAACTCAAATTTTAGGTAGTCTTCTTAAGAAGGTCCTTTAACAGAAGCCATTCTTGAATATCTTTTTTTAGTGTTGAACTGTTGAACTGAATAATAATGAAAAAAGTGTGGGCCCAAGAGCTAGATGAAGCATTCTTTGTCTTCCATTAGAATCTTTTCTGTTACTTTTATCACCGTGTGTTAAATGTTTAATTTTTTTCTTCACTGTTCTCCCGTTTCTTCAAGACTCATAGTAAATAAAAACACTAGTTTCATTTATTTATTTTGAACAACATAATCTCGAACATTATTTTTAACAGTCTAAAAGTCTACATAACGTTGGTAATAATATCCATACCCAATCACATCACATTGCAGTTATTTATACAAAATATTTGGTTTTTTTATTTAATATTAATACTAGCATTTTACATAAAAGGCACTTGTTTAATTTATTATAACCATTATACGTAATAGCCGCCTATTAATTCACAGGTAGATTAAACCTAATCTTATTGAAAATCTAGATTACATCATAAGATTCAAGTACACACTTAAATGAACTGGGTATTTGGACGTAGATTTGTATAATTATCAGTTGTCTCAAGAAAAGAACCAACAAATGTCCAAATAATGATACGTTTCTTCATTGTCGACGAAAACAAACACAAGCTCAAGACTAAAGGCGGGTTGAGTTGAGACGATCCAAGTGTAAAGTCTCCTTGGATGTTGCGCGCCCAACACTTGCCACAGCACTTGACACGAGCCCATGACTCGTGTCACCTGTTCATCCAAGTACACTTGTATCAACAGGTTATATCCAAGTTAAGTATGACGCTGGCCAACTTGCTTGGATCCAAGTAGTTTGGTATTCTAAAATTAAAAATCGAAAACGAGAAGTAAATACAAAAAGAAAATCTAAAAGAGAAAGTGTTAGGATCCATGGAGTTATACAAAGCTGATGAAGCATTACAGAACATACGGATAAAGGAATAAAAAAAAGGATGCTAGAAGTGCGGCATTTTTCTTTTTATTTCTTTTTTTCTGGGTTTCAAGCTCATGTATCAACATATCAGCAACCACTAGAACACCTTCCATCACCACTTCCGCCAGCTTTACAATGGTTATTTAACACCCAAGTCACTTAACCGTGGCAACCAACTTAATACAAGTACACTTGTACAAGTCCACTTGGTCCAAGTTGAAATCCAAGCATTCTTGGATCGTATCAACCCGCCTTAACCGATCGGTAGGATTCATGGTACAATGAAAACAAGGTAGAATATTGTGCATGCCATTTGACAGCTGAGCCAGGCGTGTTCTTAAGCGTGCTGAGCTCCAAGGCAAGAATGGTTCTTAAATGTTTTTCGGCAAAAAATATTTCTTTCGCAACTTCTTTTCTTACACAACAGATTTATATATACAATCTACTTGAAAGCATACTTGAGTAATAAAACTTTAATTAAATAATCCACGGAATTTAAATACCCAGTCAAAGAGTTCTATGTTAAATTTTCTACAAGAGAATTGTACTGGTACAGGTAATTTACAATTGCTAGCAATATTTAACCTAACCCAGGAGTTTTACAAATAAACATTCTACACTGTAGACGCTACTGCTTGCTTAGATAATATCATGGTAACGAAAAACGGTGTTAATACAATGGTAACGCAAGTTTATAGTGTTTTGTAATAAACTCTGAGTAGTGATCCTTTCATTGCTAGTCTTTTGTAGTGACACATTGATTTCCGGGCGCATAGACCGATTTCTTCCTGACATTTACGTAGTAGTACCAGTAACTGTAGTAGTAAGCTAATTGCGGAAGCTAGTTAAGATCGGTACCATAAAACGAGGTGGCTTTATGACAGCGCAGGTGAATTTGTGACAGTGTGTAGTGTCCCCATATGGAGTCCATACTTACTAACTGAACGCGCCGCAGTTATTCTCAAAGGCCTTCTGAGAATTGTGTCTGTTGATTATTGACCATATTAAAGTTTTTAAAACAAGTAACTGCATCGTGTATGTAATTAAAATTAAATTAAGTATTGTAGCATTTTTACTATGTTGGATAATTGTGGTGTAGATGACTTTGTAACACAATTTATAACAGATTGACAAAAATAAGTTAAGATTGTGACATTATTTTTTACATTTTTTTATTTTTTAGGTAAGTAGCAATGTCCAGAAAATACCAGAGGCTACCGGCAACTCGTCAATACAAAAATTATTCAAACGCGACCTTGAAGTAAAACGCAGTATAAGAGCGAAAACACAGCATACGGGATGCTGCGGAAAGATTTGAATATGTCTTAACAATGTTTTCCTAAAAATTGCCTGTTTAAATTTTAACATACGGAATTCACCGCAATAAACTGTTTCACAAACTCCATAACCGACATAGCCGTCCTTCTAGTGGACAAAAAGCTTTAGGGAGGGAAGAAGAGTCAATTTTTGCACACGTAATTGCTGTATCAACGTTTGGTTTCCTGTGACAGTCCATGATCTTGCGATGTATTGTAAAGACGTACCTAGATAAGAGAGGCAAGAATGTAAAATGTCTTAAACATAATTTTCCAGGAAAGGAATGGGTGACATCATTTCTGTCTAGACATAACAATATATAGCTTAACCGATTTCCTAGAAACATAAGCCTTTTAAGAGCTGCAATAGACCGTGAAACTATAAATAGTTTTTTTGATATTCTCAAAAGAGAGTTAGATAATGTCCCTCCATCAAATCTCTGAAATTATGATGAAATAAATCTTGCTGACGATCCTGGTGCATCTAAAGTTATTATACGACGAGGCACAAAGTATCTTGAGCAAATATGCAGCGCAACACAGGTGTTCACTTCATTAATGGTAGCTGGAAATGTTGCACCAGTTTATGTACACAAGTACATAAGTACTTACGTACACAAGTCTAAAAAACTGTGGCAAACTTGGACAGAGAATGCACGTAAAAATGCCACATATAACAGAAGCAGATCCGGCTGGTTTGATTACCAATGGTTCGAAGATTGGTTTGTCAACCTGAAGCTGCCAATACTTAAATGACAAGAAGGCAAAAAAGTACTGCTAGTTGACAATATTTGCTTCCAAATACAATACACCTTTTGCAACCATTAGACGTTGCTTTCTATCGGCCAATGAAAGGTAGGTGGAGAGCAGTTCTACATAAATGGAAAGACACTATGACTGGTAGCAGATGTGGAACAATATCAGAAGACCAATTTCCAGTTTTGTTACACAAATTGATAATGAAACTTCTGTACTAAACAGTACAGAAGTGTTGAGTGGTATGCCAGAAGAAATTAT